CTAACGAGGTCAGTTCAGGAAGATCAATAGAGTCAAATTTGTTTAGACATAAATCTGGTGCTTTGGTTTCAGGACCAGACAATGAATCCGTGTTATTCACTGGGAGGAGGTGGTGGATTTTATCCCTGATGGTTGTAATTTTATTAGTGAAGAAGCTCATGAAGTCATTGCTTCTCAGATCTAGAGGAATAGATGGGTCAGTAGAGGTGTGACTTTCTGTCAGCCTGGCTACAGTGCTGAAGAGGAACCTGGGGTTGTTCCTGTTTTCTTCTATTAGTAATGAATAATAAGAGGTTTGGGCATTTCTAAGTGCTTTTTTGTAATTTARAAGGCTATTCTTCCAGGCTAGGTGGAAGTCTTGGCGATTGGTGGAGCGCCACTTCCTTTCTAGCTTCCGCGATGTCTGTTTTAGAATACGCGTTTGGGAATTATACCACGGAGCTAATCTCCTCTGACTTACTTTCTTCTTTTTTAATGGGGCGACAGCTTCAAGTTCTGTTTTTAGTGAGGCTGCAGTACTATTAACAAAGTTATCAACTAGTGTGGGAGTAAGGTTTTGATAATCTTCTTGTATTGTACTGACACATGGCTGAGAGGGAAGTGAGGAGGGGAGCAGTTCTTTAAATTTGTGAACAGTTTTGTCYGATAAACATCGACTGTAATAGACTTTCCGTCCAGAATTGACGTAATTAACAATTCTGAATTCAAATGTAAGTAAAAAATGGTCAGACAGAAGKGGGTTCTGTTGGAATATTGTTATATTTTCTATGTCAATGCCATATGTCAGGACAAGATCAAGAGTGTGATTCAYGCAGTGGGTCGGTTGATTCACATGTTGAGTGAAACCAATCGAGTCTATTATTGATTTAAATGCTGAACTAAAGCTGTCATTGGCAACATCTACATGAATATTGAAATCACCGGCTATAATGATTTGATCTGTTTTAAGGACTAGTTCTGATAAAAATTCAGAGAATTCAGATAGGAATTCAGAGTAAYGGGCYGGTGGACGATAWATGATGACTATATTAATTGGTTTATGTGACGTCAGGCTTGGGTGGACGAGGCTGGTTCTAAGATTTTCGAAAGAGTTATAACTCTCTTTTGGTCGGGGGTTGATTGATAGATCCGATTTAAAGATTGCTGCAACCCCTCCACCTCTGCCTGTGTTCCGAGGAATGTGAGTATTAGAGTGGGTTGGGGGCGTCGCTTCATTTAAACCTACATATTCTCCGTCTTGTAGCCAAGTTTCGGTTAAGCATAATAAATCTATTTGATGATCAGTAATGAGATCATTTATAAGTAAAGATTTTGAATTTAGTGACCTGATATTTAATAAAGCGCATTTTATAGTTATGTTTTTAGCTGATGTTTTGGCTGTGTTAATTTTGACTAAGTTTGAGTGTATCACCAACATGGCAGCCTCCGTAGAGAGGACCCACCCCATGTAAATATAAAGTATTGAAATCTACTTTATTTAAATATAGTGGGCCTTTTCTGGGGTAAAGAAGACTACAATTCAATTTCAATTGCGATGAAATGAACTAGTCAAAACATCATGAGGATTATTCTAGATTGAATTTCTGCCAATTGATCCCTTTCACCTAAATCTTACACACTGGACCTTTAACAATAATTACAATAATAAATAAAATGTATAAAAACATTGAATCAAATTTTTAAATTATAATATACATTAGCTCAACAATTCCCAAAATGAACAGCTCTGACGACTTTGAAAAGAAATAAAAATATATTTCAAGCCAGTGATGAACAAAAGAAACGGGGAATAAATGTCATTATTTGACTCTCGCATTTGAAATCATTGAATCATTAAATTTATGTTTTCCCTTAAAAATTTTGAAATAGTTTGAGAAAATAGGTTATTTTGAAAATCTAAAGGACTGAAAATAGTCCATAGTCAGATTTTTCAACTTGTGGCCAAACTGCAAATACATTTGTTTTTGGATTTTTATGATCCAGAAGATTAGTACAAATATTTCATTCATTAATACAAATCAGTCAACCTGTCTAATTAAAAAAAAAAAGTTTAACTTTTCTTTATACTTAAAGTTTGGGTGCATTAATTCATGGAAACAATATAGAGTTCATCCATAACTTTATTCTTCTCAAGCCCATGTAGTAGCTAAACGACGGGAGAGGTGAAGAAATAAAGCAAAATAAATCAGATCAACTCAGATCTTGATCTTAAGTCCTAGTGATTGGGTATGTAGATGGTTTTGAACTTCTCGAAGAGATTAATGTCGTCCTCCAACTGCTTCATTGCTGCTTCCAGCCGTTCCTTGTGGGCTTTCTTTGACAGGGTGTCGGTGACGAGCGAGAGGCCCTGATATTCGTGGTGCAGCTTATCCCAGTTATTCTTCAGGCCCTGGATAGTGGACACAGGGAGGGACACCAGTCAGTGTCAAACAGTCAAAACCAACTATCCTTACTGATGCATAAATTATATCAGGATGCTATGTTTGTATATATATATGTGAAAATATCATCAACCATAACAGGCAGACAAATATCGACCATGCAGAAGTCGATTAGATGTCTGTTGTTTAAGGTAAGAAAATGTGTGGGAGTACCTCCAGGAGAGCTTGTCGCTCCTTGTCAGACATGAGTTTTATGGCTCCCTGCTCCTTCTGCTCTTTCACATAGTTTTCATAATCCTCCTGAGCCCTCTGCTTTTCTTCATTGCGCTGGAGAAGGTACTCAGGTACTTCTCCATAATCCTAAAATAGAAATGTCAAACCTTCAAGTTGTGAATTTGTATCAACTGTTGAAGCAAATAATGTCCCTCAAGTTGTATTCAAAATTTGATTCACAAACTTTTCTTTGCTGTTGTATCGTCATCAGAAAATACCTTTTTCTTGATGTACTTTGGTACGAGTCCTGAATTTTCGAGGAGCTGCTTGTGTCCCTTGCTGGTGTCCACACAGGTTGGCAGTGGCTTCATTGGAGCCAAAGTAGTTGTCTTTATAAAGTCTCTTTTGGTGTGAATGCCCATCGGTGGGTTGTCTGTCCTTGCAGGAACAGGTGGTTTCTTCACAGTGCAGCTGTGACAAAACTCTTTTGAGGGCTCTGTCTCTGAGAAGAAATACAAATATGACGAAGAAATTCAGATGATTACAAAACACAATCAATGCTCAAACTGAGACCCATGCAATGGTCATGTTGTTAGAAATACTCACTTTTGGCCAGTTTGGACTCTTTGAAATGCTTCTTGGTGTACTGGTCTGGGGGTGCCACCTCTACTTTTGCTGGTCCCATCGTTCTCATTGCTTCCTTGTTTGCTTTTTCCTCAAGAATAACTGTCGGTCTAAATTTGGATATATACCTTCAGAGGAAAATTATAAATGAACATGTTATTTAAAAATCTTTTCATTATTGAAGTGTGCAGAGAAGATGAACAGATATGGAGTGGAGATGTTTTGTTTATGTAATTATGATTCTATCCATTGATCCATTATCTATACCGCTTATCTTTTAAAGGTTGCAGGGGGTCTTGGAGACAGTTGGCATTGCATGAGAGGAGGGCTACACCCCGGACAGGTCACCAGTCCATCACAGGGCTGACATTCAAAGACAAACAGCCACTGACTCTCATAGTCACACCTTTAGTTAAGTCAGAGTCTCTAAACAACCTCTCCTCAATCTGCACGTCTTTGGACAGTGGAGAGAAGTACGAGTACCTGGACAGAACCCACCCAGGAGAAGACATGCAAACTCAACACAGAACAGCCCTGATGAAGAATCCAATCAATTTGCTATGTAGCCACCCCTGACTATGACATGATTAATATTATTTCAAACTTTTTCTTTAAATGAGCTGCAACTAAAATGTGATTTCAGTGTCAATGAATTTTCTGATTATTGAAGTCTGATCAGCTCATCAAAGATTATTCATTTTACTTTATTCATTTAAAGGAAAGGAACCATCAAGTGTTTGGTATTCCCGCTTAAAGCTGACGTTAATTAATATAAAATAATTAGAGATTGCCTTTCTGATCATCATCTATTACATAACTATTTAATTGTTGCAGTTTTTAAATGAGGTCAAATCTCAGCGTGAGGGAAGGGAAGACATTTCTTTCTTAAATGCAATTTCTTCTTTTCTATGTTCAATGTTTAGGTCTAACTAACTAACTAGGTTATTCTTCCTAATGACCTAGTCTAACTAGATTGATTTGACGATCTAATAAGATTAAGCCTAATATTATTTGCTTTAAACAGCTGCAAACGTACCTCTGTGGTTTTTGAGTTTGAACCTCTGTCTTCGGAAAACTATTGTAGACACTTTCTGGTGGATACACAGCTTCAGACATGTTGAATGACTTCCAGCAGGAGAGGGGTTAATATTCAAAAAGCTGCGCTGCTGTTGACTGTAAAATACAAACACTGTGTTGACGGTGAGTTGCTAAAATGCTTTGTTCAGTAAAAACCTAACCCTGAAAATGAATGTAATGTAACTCAGTTCAGATAATAAGTACACAGCACACGGAGCCTACAGGAGGACAATCCTCTGGTCACTATGTTTGACAACACGCTGCCCGGCTGGTTGCTAGGTGACCGCGGGTGCAAATGTTGCATTCCTGACACGTGTAAAGTACAAAATCTGAGCTGAGACCACGTTTTCCTTTTTGAAATATATAGACAGTAGCTAAAGGTATGGGAATTTTAGATTTATATAAAGCAACAAGTCTTTTTCATTTATCTCCCGACGATCTATTTCATAGTAAATTTGCGGGTTTGCCGTTTTAATCTTACAATATCCAACATTTGCCCCCTGCCAAGGTTAAGGGATGATCTAAATTCATTCATTCAGATTCTTGTTTACCGATATCAAAGACCAGAGGTTGAATGCGTTTCTCTGCAGGACATTTGCATATCAATGTGTCTAATTTGGAATTTGAGTGCACCGAAATACAAGGTCCTCAGGCGCACTTGAATGCACCATAGGGTCAGACGTACTTGCAGGTTTCGCGAGGGAAATAAAAACATTGATGGTGTATGAGAATCTGTGATTGTGTTGTTTCAACATTACAGTTAAAATAAATGCATACATGCATGTTAATAAAATAAGAAAATGTGTATATTAGTTTTCACAACTACATAATGTTATACACTCCGGTACAGTAGGTGACGCTGTGGCATCATATCCACCTCGTACACATACAGTAGCAGAAGAAGAAGGTTGACCGACTGCATCGCTAAATGTTTCATCGTTGGTTCGTGTAGCTGTGAAGCAGCGAGTGTGTCATTGTAGCTTCCAGCTGCAGCCACAGTGTGAGGAGCAAGCTCCTTCACCCCCACTGTCAGACTCTACAGCACCTTAACATGAATGCAATACTCTCATCACAGTTTACTGATGATCTGCACCATTTTATTGATTTTTTTTACACTATTGTGCACATAAGTACCCTCTGCACATAACCTGTGTGGTATAATCATGTGTAGCCTCTCATCACATTTTTAACTAAACATGTAATTGCACATAAGTATCCTCTGCACATTACATGCACAGCATATCATATTATCCACATGTTTTGTCTATCTCAGTATCACCTTATGTTTTTACATTCTTGTGCAATCATCCTCTACCATTGCACTTAACTGATATGCTTTTTTTCTATACAAATTATTTTTTTCAAAAGATAAAGGGGTATTTTGTATGATTATTATTATTATTTTGTGTTGACTTCTTTCATATTTTTATCTTCTGGTTTACATCATTCTGAATTGTCACCTGCTGTAACAAGGGATTTCCCCGGTGTGAGATCAATAAAGTTTTTTTTATTTATATACTATTATCAAACATGACTAACATTCTGTTACATGTATTTACTGAATGTCACAAATACTCAGTTTCAGATTTTGTCATTTTCAAGCTGGATAAAACATGACTGTGTGAACACCAGGTAACATTGTGTGAAACACTGAATACTTTTACTGTGGTGTTGTTTTAAAAATATTGTTCATAAAAATTATAATTCTCATGTTAAGGCAAATATTAAAGTATTAATTGTTATCAAATGAAATGAGCATTACTTAGCAGAGGTTTTAACAATGTGAGGCACTGTATACATGTCACATTTTCATTTCAATGTCTGATCGTCCCTGGTGTTGCTCGAAATGTACCTGAAGTCTGGAGAGCCACCTGGTGGGAGAATTGCATAATCCATAAAAACAAGTGAAGTCAGTAACAGCCAAAAATCACAAGTCACATTTTCATCAAATGGGTTTACATCATTATCTCTGCATAACAAACAACTCCTTTATACATTTTTATTTGCTTGTCTTGCTTTGTTGTCAAAGCTCTTTGTAAACTCTGTTTTTAAAATGTGCTATATAAATAGTTTATTATTATATATCCTCAAACGGTGCTGCTGCAGCACGAGCTAGCATGTTTTCTTTTTGCAGATCATACATCAAGCGTCTGCCAGCAATCAAATACAATTGATTGCATTAATATTTATTTTAGAGGCATCCTGCTGTCCAGGTTTTGAATGCAGTTATCATGATTTCCAATGTCCGTGCAGCCAGTGATCCAACATGGTGACCCTGCTGTCTAATAAACCCCAAAATTACCTCCATTAATATATGAACATTGATTTAGCTGTTTCATTTCTGTGATACAACTGTGTAGTGTGCTGTAATGACCAGTCAATACTGCTGTGGCTGAGGGGGTAGAGCGGTCGTCCTCCAACCAGAAGGTCCAAAGTTCAATCCCCAGTCTTCCCATCTGCATGCCAAAGTGTTCTTGGGCAAGATACTGAACCCCAAAACTGCCCAATAGAACACCAAAAAGTGCTAGCTATAGAAGCACTGTATGAATGTGTGTGTGAATGGGTGAATGGAAAACTGTAGTGTAAAGCGCTTTGAGTGGTCTTCAAGACTAGAAAAGCGCTATAGTATAAATACAACCATTTACATTGTTTGGTTAACCGACCACCAGATGTCACTGTTTATGTGAAGCGTGGAAACTAACCAGGCAGAACACCTCAGCTCAGGTGAGGAGAAGTTGTGTCTGCCACAACTTATGTCCCTGTTTAACACCTGGAATGCATAGTACTGTTTACAATGCTATACTTTTTGCATTATTTTCCACTCCAATGTTTTGTAACAGAGCACATCCAAAGGGATTTGAATTATATTTCTCTGCATGGGGCCAAATTCTTCCTCTCGTCTTACCAACCTTCAATTTTTTTTCTTTGTAGAACCCACTTAGGTTTTTTAAACCTAATTGAGTTCTTTAAACCTAATTGGGGGTGTAGAGCGTAGAGTGTAGAGTTGGGAAGTGGATATATCACTCCACGTCCCAACTACACTTTGTTTGACTCACAAAGACTGATTTTGTTAATACTGGTCCTAAATCGATACTTTTAAAATGATACCAGTGCATAAACTGTGCCAGAACTGATCCTTTATTCTTTAAAAAAATAGATTATAAGAGAAAAACTCAGCTATAATAATTTAAGAGCCAAACTTGTCATGCATTGTCTCCCACTGACAGGTACTTCATTAAGTTTGTTGTGTTCCTAGGTGTCAGAATTCTTTCACATAAAATACAGCAACACTTGACACCATTGATATTTAATGTTTATGGAATAAATAAATGGGAGACGTAAGGATAACAGTATGGATGCATTTAAATTGGCTCAACTTATTTTTACTCTTACTGATATTTGGTGTAAGATGAATACACACCCTCCATTCCTGTCTGTGTGGATATGGGCAAGACAATATTGCTCTAGGTTATGAATTTACTCTTTTTGTTTATTTCTGATTTTAACATTAACATTTTAATTCTTTTTTTCCACACAACTTTGATGCATGAAAACACAGGGCTCTCCAATGTTCTGTCAATCTGAAAAAGAGGGTGGGATGGAACTTTATCAGAGGACGCAGAGCAAAAATGATCCACTTGGTCCTCAGACTGAAGGCACACTACCCCGCCCCTCCTGACAGAGCACTGGTCGCCTGTTCATTCAAATTTCATTGATATCGGACACATCACCAAATCACAAATTTGACACTGCACTTCTGTGGGCCATTAATGATACACATGCCAAGAGTGACCTTGATAAGATGAATGTTTGGAGATATGCATTCCACATACAGACAGATGTTCGTTGAATTATAGTTCTAAATTACAATTCTGAAGTGTGTGTGGTTATTCTGTAGTTTTCAGTCTGATGTGATTTAAAGATTGATGGCTCTGAGGTTTATGTGACTTCAGAAACAGACGTGATTCTAACACATCTATTCTCAGCACAGCCACACAATCAACTCCTTGCTTCAGCTAAATAAACCTCCCACCTGTGTGTTCCTCTCCTCCTCTCTGTGCACTGTGCTTTTAAGATTTTCCAAAGGTTACTTCAAAGGTATTTTATTTCCATTGACTGCTGTGTAACATTCCTGGGAGGTATTAATAAAAAAAGCTAAATATTAAAGAAGTGTTACTGTTGTTCCATCTGTCATTGACAATAGTCAGGGAAATCATACACAATTCAAAACCCGAATGATATTAAATAAACAAATATGTGATTAGAAAATCATATTAATCCAGATAACCATGGAAGTCTGTCACAGATATAAATGAAGCCAATAGAGGGCACTGTTGTCTTTTTTAGCGTGGACGTTTACTGTGACTCCAAGTATACTTATATGTACTTGCTAGGTATAGATGTTTCAACCCTTTAAACCCAGAATGCAAGCAGTCAGTCAGGGAGAGTGGACGTGCAACAATGAGACCAGAAGTCCATGAACTTGGTTCAGAGCTCTGAGACTTTCTCACAAGATAAACATACATGGCATCAATACACAAACACTCCAGGACAGACAGAAGGTCCTCAGCCCACAGACGAAATGGCCAAACGCTTCAAACACTAGCTTTAAATATGTTTGGGTAAAACCATCCCTTAACTAGAAAACGTCAAATGAAAACAATTAAAGCAAACAAGAATATTAATAAAGTGTCTTTAATCTAATACATTAAAGAGTACAATAACTCTACAACTAATGATTGAGGCTAGAGTTAATATTCCTTAAGGCTAGTAGAAAAAGAAAATACAAAAGAAAACCAATTACACTCTCCCCCCATTCCTCATTCCTACATGGTTTAGTCCACATTGAAACCACCTGGTGGAGATGTGGCGTTCACGTGCGCTCGTTCATGAACACCAGCCTCAACCAGGAAGTGAACCTCAAAGAAAACAAAGATTAGAAATCAAGGCAAACCAAAGAGCTGACCTGACTAATGAGGGAGTGAGTGCAGCTTCCTCACAGTACAGTATAGTATAATCTCAGACATTTGTACCCAACTGTAAATATATGTCGGTAGCAAATACAGCTTTCTAAATAGCAGTGCAATATAAAGTTGATAAGAACCACTGGGGAAAAAAGAGAGGCAATTTGTGTATTCCCATATTAACCATTGGAGCTACACTGGGGATTCAATTGAAAGTCGTGTGAGCTGCTGGCACTTAGACACATCATTATTCATGAATATGACTCATTTGAATTTGTGTG